ATGTGTTGTATTAGTTTTTAGCAGTTTGGAGCAAATTACTAAGTTATTATATAATATATTTTGGTGTTTTGATTAAAGTTGAAATGTTAAAATGACGAATTTATTAAAATTTTGGTGAATTTATCAATAATCAAATTACAAATAATAATAATAATAATAATAATAATAATAATAATAATAATAATAATAATAATCCAAACAAAACAATATACAAAATAAAATAAAATTTAAAATTAAAAATAATAAGAAGAAGGCAAAAGGGAGCCACGGGCTCCCTTTGTAAATGATGCTGGATAATTTTGATCCACATTGAAAATGTTTGGAAAGATGAGCTCTTGAGCTCCTCTATATAAGAGGAGCAATGCCCCTCTTACAAACATAATTGTTTGACCATCAATGTGGGCAAGTATTGAGAAGTCCCAAGGCTCCTATTTTATTGTTGAGTACTATTGACGTGACAAATTATGCTGTGAAACTGTGTCCACCTTGCATGGTAGACACGGTTCCAAAATTGTTCATAATTATGAATATATAGTTCTATAATTATGAACACAGTGTTGTGAACATAATTATGAACATATAGTTATGTAATTATGCATATAGAGATTCAATAATTGTGAATATGAAGTTCAAAAATTATGAATATATAACTTTATAATTATGAACATATAATTAAGTAATTATGAACATATAGTTTTGTAATTGTGAATATAGAGTTCAATAATTATGAATATATAGCTTTATAATTATGAACATATAGTTCAATAATTATTAACATAGAATTGTGTCCACCTTGCAAGGTGGACACGGTTCTACAACATAACTATTCGATAGACCATGTTACATATAAAATATCTATTCGTATAAACTTTCTCAACCTATTGAAGTCCAACGAGTCAAAAGGCTCTTATTTAATAAACCTTATCTTAGTGGCTTATTATTATTATTATTATTATTTAAAATTTATTAGGGGGTTTGGGAAAGATTAACCCAAAATGTATTTGTATTGTTTTAGTTTTTAACAGTTTGGAGCAAATTGCTAAGTTATTAAATAATATTTTTTATGTTTTGATTAAATATAAAATGTTAAACATGTGAATTTGTTAAAATTTTGTCAAATTTGCCAAATAATCAAATTACAACAACAACAACAACAACAACAACAACAACAATAATAATAATAATAATAATAATAATCCAAATAAAACTATATACAAAATAAAATTAAATTAAAACAAAAAAAAAGAATAAGACAAAGGGGAGCCACGAGCTCCCTTTGTAAATGATATGAGATTATTTTGATCCCACATTGAAAATGTTTGAAAAGATGAGCTTTTGAGCTCCTCTATATAAGAGGTACAAATATAATTGTTTGTCCATTAATGTTGTAAGTATCGAGAAGTTAAAAGGTTCTTATTTAAGAAACCTTAGCTTTGTCTTCTTATTTTAGTTTTTATTTATTTATTCATTATTTGATATTAGTGGGTTGGGAAAGATTAACCCAAAATGTATGTGTTGTTTTAGTTTTTAGCAATTTAGAGCAAATTACTGAGTTATTAAATAATATTTTTGGTATTTTGATTAAAGATAAATTGTTAAAATGGCGAATTTGTTAAAATTTTGGTGAATGTGTCAATCTCAATTTTTTTTTTAAATCGTCAATAATAATAATAATAATAATAATAATTATAATAATAATAATAATAATAATAATAATAATAATAATAATAATAATAATAATAATAATCCAAACAAAACAATATACAAAATAAAATTAAAATTAGAAAAAAATAAGAAGAATGATGTGGGATCATTTTAATCTCACATTGAAAATGTTTGGAAAGATTAGCTCTTGAAAATGTTTACAAACATAATTGCTTGCCCATCAATGTGTGCAAGTAGTGAGAAGTCCAAAGTTTTTTTTTTCTTTTTTGTTTAGAAGTAAAGGAAAATTAAGAATAGAAAGAAAATATTTCAATAATAATATTTTACATCATCAAGTAGTAAAGACATATTTTAAAAAATAGTAAATGTAAATTAAAAATGGAACGAAAATATTTCATTAATAATATTCTACATCATCAAATTAAAATGTAACGGAAATTAGGTAAAAATATCAATACATCTATATTCTAATTGACTGAAAATAAAAAAAAAATAATTGACTGAAAATGAATCTAATATTACTAATTGACTGAAAATATAAAAGAAAATGAATATTAATAATTGACTGCAAATAAAAAATGCTCCATAATTGACTAAAAAAAAAGAAATTGTCAGATCATTGCATTTTAATTAAAAATGGAATGAAAATTAAAAATTAGAGAAAAATATTTCAATAATAATATTCTACATTATCAATAGTAAATGCATATTTTAAACAATAGTAAAGGTAAATTAAAAATGAAACAAAAATATTTCAATAATAATATCTACATCATCAATTAAAAATTATCACTGCATTTGATATTCTAATTGATTAATTGACTGAAAATAAAAAAGAATAATTGGGTGAAAATGAATCTGATATCACTAATTGACTGAAAATATAAAAGGATAACTAATTGAGTAATATTCTACCATTATATATTTTAATCCAAGTAATCCGTCCTGATGGATTGAAGGTGAACTCTGGACGAAGATGAACAAGATTGTGTTGTCACTACCAATGTCGTCTACAAAGAGGTTTCAATAATGTGTAAATATAATCGGTGATATTAAGTTTTTCTTTTTAAATGAAAAAATTGTTATATATCTAGACAAAAAATATATATATTCCATACAAATGAATAAGGATACCAATTCATTTCTATAACTCAGTTGTTAGAGAATGAGCACATTTGCGTAATTTATGAAAATTCTAAATAATGATAAATAAAATCTTCAAAGTTATAGCACCGTATGCGTACATCTAGACATTAGCTATTAATTTGACCAATTATTTGCACAAATTCAAGCAATGATAACATCAAAATATACAAACGATCCAAACCATATCTTTAATTGCACTATATAATATTTGATGTTCTAATTTAAATAATTATATATCGATTCATATATTCTTAATATATTACAACAAATTCATTCCGTGCATCGCACGGGTGCAAATACTAGTATATTCATATGGCAAATTATGTTGTGAAAACGTGGCCACCTTGTAACTTGGGCACAATTCCAAAACGACACCGTTCTAATTTTTTTAAAAAAATATTGTTTTTCACGGCTGTTAACGGCGTTTCTCTTTTCGCAATCGCACAGTTTAGAAATTATGAATCTATTGTATTTAAATTAGAAATCTACAGTATAGAAATTATGAATCTACAGTATTAGGTTTGTGAACATGTGCTAGAGATGTTCATAATTTCCAATGTTCATATTCGCAATTGTTGAACTCTATATTCACAAATCATAGAACTATATGTTCATAATTTGATAACTATAGAGTTTAGAAATTATGAATCTACACTACAGAAATTATGAATCTACAGTACATATATTATGAATCTGCAGTATATAAATTATGAATCTACTGTATAGAAATTATGAATCTATTATACGGTTTAGAAATTATGAATCTACAATATATATTTTATAAATTTACAGTATAGAAATTATGGAGAATAACAATGCCACTAACGACACCGTTACTCAACCACATGAATATAGCGTCGTTTGGAACCGTACCCACCTTACAAAGTAGACACGATTCCACAGCATAACGATCCATATTCACATTTGCATGATGTAATGTAATTTCATCAAATCATTTTATAATAAAACTTGTTACATTATCATATTTATTTTAAGGTCTCCTGAAAAAAATCATATATAATTATCAACCCTATGGGATCAAATTAATAAGTAATATGACATACCAAGTGGCTTATGGTCCACTGGTATTCGATTATTCTTTTATGCGATTATTCCTTTATGTGGGAGGTCTAAGGTTCAAGCCCCGATTTAGGCGTAGATTGAATTTGTGGGTATCCATCTCCTTTTGTAAAAAAAAAAAAAAAAAAGTAATATGACATTTGATTGATCATAGTTACGTTGTTTAAATTATAACGGGGACCACATTTCATAATTTTAAATAATTAATAAATTAAAAATGTAAAATGGTTTAGAATTAATAATTACTTAATAACAATTAATTTTATCAAACACTTATATTTAATTGATCAAATAAATTAATATTATCATTAGAGTTAATACCCAAAATGATCATTGGATCGACTATAGTGATTTTTTCTCAATTTCATCCTAAACAACTTTGGTGACCTAATGTAGTCTTAGACATTTGTGTTTTTGCTCAATGTAGTTCTCCGTTTGTTATTCCGTCAAATTGATGATAAACAGATGGACAATTCAGTAATATCAATACTGACATCTCTTTTAATTTATTTATAATGATTAAATAAATCACTCATTTTTTATGATTTGTCCTATTAATTTCAATATTACCCTTTTACATATTACGAATTATCCCAGTAATTTCAATATTTACTTATTACTAGGACATTTCGTAAAAGATAGGTGATTTATTTAATCATTATAAATAAATTAAAAGAGATGCTTATATTGAAATTATTAAATTGTTCCTCCATTTAACATCAATTTGACGGAATAACAAATGAATGACTACATTGAAAAAAAAAAAAACACAAAAGTCTGCGATTACATTATGTCACCAAAATCGTCTAGGACGAAATTGAGAAAAAAAACTATAGTCAATGACTATTTTGGATATTAACTTTTACCATTACATTGATACTATTTTGTTTTACAGAAAAACCCGTAAGTTCATAACTACTATTGAATTATGCGTTTAAAACATACTTTGTAACTCTAATCAGTAAATGGTCACAATTAAATAAATCAGTCTCAATTATTCATAATTGATCAATTCAAACAAAAAAGATCGAACCTAGTCGAGGTCTCATAAAGGGTTGAACATTGGTGCTATTAAGTATACTCAAAAATTCAATGGATGGAATTAGAACACCAAACAAACTTTTCAAACGCAGCATGCTACCACAGCATTAAATTCCCCAATGGAGTAAGAGAAACGCGTTTGACCTTGTCCCCGACGACCTCCATTGACGACCTTCCTTTAGCTTATTATCAATGTAGATCCATTTCCCAGTTTTCTACCTTGCTTTCTTCAAGCATTTTAATTTTCACAGATAATCGTAGCTTTAATGGCGGATAAAGTGAAGCAGATCCTTGCGAAGCCGATTCAATTGGCGGACCAGGTGACTAAGGCGGCGGACGAGGCTAGCTATTCGTTCAAGCAGGAATGCGCGGAGTTGAAGACGAAGACGGAGAAGCTGGCGGCGCTGCTGCGGCAGGCGGCGCGTGCCAGCAACGACCTGTACGAGCGGCCGACGCGGCGGATCGTGGAGGACACGGAGCAGGTTCTGGAGAAGGCGTTAGTGTTGGTGGTGAAGTGCCGCACGCACGGGCTGGTGAAGCGCGTGTTCACCATCGTTCCCGCGGCGGCGTTCCGGAAGATGCAATCCCAGCTGGATAACTCGATCGGGGATGTGTCGTGGCTCCTCCGCGTCTCCGCCTCCGCCGACGCACGCGACGACGAGTACCTCGGCCTCCCGCCGATCGCCGCCAACGAGCCCATCCTCTGCCTCATATGGGAACAGATTGCGATTCTCTACACCGGATCCCTCGACGACCGCTCCGACGCCGCCGCCTCCCTGGTTTCCCTGGCCAGGGACAATGATCGCTACGGGAAGCTAATCATCGAGGAAGGCGGAGTCCCGCCATTGCTCAAACTCCTCAAGGACGGCAAACCAGAAGGCCAGGAAAACGCCGCCAGAGCAATCGGATTGCTCGGCCGCGACCCCGAAACCGTCGAACAAATGCTCCACGCCGGCGTCTGCCAAGTGTTTGCGAAAATGCTCAAAGAAGCTCCAATGAAAGTCCAGGCTGTAGTCGCCTGGGCTACCTCCGAGCTCGCCAAACATTTCCCCAAATCCCAAGATCCTTTCGCTCAGAACAATATAATCCGGTTACTAGTCAAACATCTCGCCTTTGAAACAGTCCAAGAACACAGCAAATACGCCATTGCTAGCAAGGCAACCTCGATTCACGCCCTAGTTTTAGCCAGCAATAACAATGCCAATCCCAATTCCAATCAGAAAAATGAAGATGAAGAGAAACGCAGCAGTATCCCCCATCCAATGGAGACCAAGAAGCCTACCCAAATGCACAATGTGGTTACTAACACAATGGCAATGAAGAATCAGAATCCCATGAATCATCACAATCATGGCAAGGAAATGGAGGATCCTGCAACAAAAGCTTACATGAAGGCAATGGCGGCAAGAGCGCTTTGCTATCTTGCCAAAGACAATCCGGGGATTTGCCGTAGCATTACAGAATCAAGCGCCCTGCTCTGCTTCGCGGTGCTGCTCGAGAAAGGAACTGAAGATGTGCAGTACAATTCCGCCATGGCAGTGATGGAGATCACAGCCGTAGCAGAAAAGGACCCCGAGCTGAGACGATCAGCATTCAAGCCGAATTCCCCCGCCTGCAAGGCGGTTGCCGATCAACTCCTGAGGATCATCGAGAGTGCCCGTCCTGATTTACTCATCCCTTGCATTACAACAATCGGGAATCTGGCCAGGACTTTCCGGGCAACCGAAACAAGAATGATATGTCCACTAGTAGCCCTGCTTGATGACCAAGAACCAGAGATTACCAAAGAAGCTGCAATTGCTCTCACCAAGTTCGCCTGCAGTGACAACTATCTTCACCTGGATCACTGCAAGGCGATTATCAGCGCTGGCGGGGCGAAACACTTAGTTCAGCTTGTGTACTTTGGAGAACAGATGGTTCAGAGCTCTGCACTCACTCTCCTGTGTTACATTGCCCTGCACGTCCCGGATAGCGAAGAGCTTGGCCGGTCTGAAGTGCTCACAGTGCTTGAATGGGCATCAAAGCAGGGATTCCTGAACCAAGATGACAAAATGGCGACACTCTTGCTAGAAGCCAAACGCGGTATGGAAGTCTTTCAATCCAGAGGGCATCGGAGATGCTGAGCGACCAGATTCGAGCTCTATCAATGTGTACAACTTTTGCAATATGGTGCTTCTTGGATGACCAGAGAAACCTGCAACCATTATTCGAAGATTTGTGTACGGGTAATTGGGTAAACCTGCTTTGTGACCAAACCCGAAACCGCAATATGGTACTGCTTCTTGTCATTTGGAGTGTACATAAGATAGGCCTCTTCAGTCTTGCCAATAATTTACTAGAGAATAGAGGGAAGAAGTGAAAAAAAACACTGATTACCATTGTTCCTCATTATAGTTTTGTTTTTTGGAATTTGAATCCACAGTCTGTATTTCATCTTTAGAACTAGAATTCTTTGCATTTGGGATATATGATCACCCGCTCTACATACTGGTTTTGTTCATCATTTCTACAAGTCAAAAGTTACATGGCAAATGAGATCAAAGCTCTGACTTAAACCAATAGTGTTTTGAATCGAGCTCGAATACAAAAGATTAAAGTTGAGTTTCAAGTTTCGACTATATGAGCTCGACTTGTCTCAATTACACCCTAACTCGGGAATTCACAGAGAAACCGAAAGACATGTGATAGTGAATCCTACTCATTGGTACCATGGTGACAGGTTTGACCGTTAGGCAAACAGAAACTGTGAGTGTTGGGTTGACCAGTCCACGCGTCACTCATCCGTGGTACTGGGTGGTCAAAAAGCAGAAAAGTCCAAGTTCCCAGCTGGACACGAAACTGGACATGACAGTGCACTTGTTTCTGACGAGATTGGTTCATCAATAAACAATACTTTTTTTTTTTTTTGAGCAAATCAATAAACAATACTTAAAAGTTGATCTTTCAAAAGATCAAAGAACCATTATTTTTCATGTCGACTTTATAAAAAAAATGTAAAATGATAATTAAATTCGACTCCAAGAGTTTTCGACCTACTTAACTAGTCTTTTGACTACCTATTAATGGTGTTCTCAGCTCGTAGAGATTAAAGCCACTGTTACAAAAATCAGCTAAGGCGAATTACCTCCTAGGCAGTCGGTCGGCTGCCATCTAAGCGCCCAACTCTGCCGAGTTAGTTAAATTAACTCGGCCGAGTTGACTTGCTAATTTTTTTAATTTTAGGGTCCGTTTGGAAAGCAGGAAAATGATTTCTGGAAAATGTTTTCTGGAAAATGAGTCATTTTCCGGAAAACATTTTCCTTTCCCGTGTTTGGTTGCATTCTGGAAAACTGTTTTTGTGTGTTTGGTTCATTTTCTGGAAAATGAGTAGAATTGTATAATTAAACATTTTAATTATTTTATTTAGAATATTACAACATGTATAATAATATAATAATAATTTTAAATATAATAAAATAATAACTAATAATATATCAAAAATATTATGGTGGTGGTGGGTGTAGTGGTAGTGGTGTTATTTGTTATATAATAATAATAATAATAATAATAATAATAATAATAATAATAACTGGTGGTGGTGGTGGTGGTGGTGGTGTGGTGGCGGTGATTGCAGTGGTATGGTGGCGGCGACGGTGGTGGCGGTGATATGGTGGTTGCGGTGGTATGGTGGTGGTGGTGGCGGCGGTGGTATGGTCGTGGTGGTGGCAGCGGTGGTGTGATGCTGGTGGTGTGGTGGTGGTGGCGGCGGCGGCGGTGGTTGCGGTGGTATGGTGGTGATGGCGGTGGTGGTATGGTCGTGGTGGTGGCGACAGTGGTGTGATGCTGCTGGTGGTGGTTGCGGTGGTATGGTGGTGGTGGCAGCAACAGTGGTATGGTGGTGGTGGTGGTGGCGGCGACGGTAGTTGCGGTGGTATGGTGGTGGTGGTGGTATGGTATTGATGATGTTGGTGATAGTGTGATGTTGGTGTAAAAGTTGGAAAATGACTTCCCCCCAAAAAAAGGGGAAGTCATTTTCCTCCAAAACAAGCCTATTTTCCAAAGTCAACGGAAAATGATTTCCGTTGACTTGATTTTCCAGGCACATCCAAACAGTGAAAACTTGGAAAATGATTTCCAGAACTCATTTTCCAGGTTTCCAAACACACCCTTATATATATATATATAATATGACATACACCCACACACGTGCACTGTTTTTTTAGGTGCTAGGTGCTACTCTGCTGCTCGACTAGCGTCTAGCGTCTACTGCAATCATGATCAAAGCTACTGGGAGTAGATAATTACAAGGGTGGACAAATAACAAAGAATCTGTTACATTTTAAATGGCTTGTCAGCTAGGTTGCAACAACCAATCTGGTATAATGAAAAGAAAGGTACCTGAAAGAAGGATTGAGATGGTAGCTTCGCTGGCTGTATGGTGAGGCCAATCTCTGCATTATTATGGTGTAACCAAAACGAAGTGCATGCAGCGGCAACACTATCCACTTTTATGGCTAATGTGAGCCAGACATTGTTTCCAGCTACTGACAGGACTATAATAATTGTCCCATGTTATAGAGTTTTGTCAATTAAAACTCATCATGTTGTGATAAATGATTAGGATTAGTGTCTAGGCAAGATTATTAGTTAGTGTTTTTATTGCTCTCCCATGCCTTGCACATCCTTATCATATCATAAGAAGAAGGTATATATATATATAGTTGCGGGCAACCCCAGTCAAGATGTTACAAACAATTGATTTGATAATAACAAGGTTTCAAGTTCAATTGTACTGTCCATGGGAACGTTGGTTGGGCTAGGAAGGAAAGAGCGAGGCTGTGTGCCTCGTGTGGTAAGGTTCTGTCATTCAGCATCTACACTAGGGTAGTGCCTTCCCATTTAGAAAAACCACAAAGGTATCATTGAGTTACAAGTTACTCCGTACTTGGCAACATTAAATTAATATTAAACTCAACTGAAATGAAAAATGAAAAAAATAAAAAAACAAAACAAAACAAAACAACAACCGCATTGTTAAATATAAATATTCTTAGCCTTTGTGATTCATATTCAGTTGAGTTACCATGATTTACATCCTCCCAAATGCTTTGTCGGATCGGGCTGTGGAGGGCCTTTAGGGTTGGGGTTCAGCCTTTTGAAAGAATATAAATATTCCAATAGGGTAACATGCCTAAGATTCTCAAAGTGCAATACCCCTATACCAGCTAGCCTAAGTCCACAATAAATAAAGATACCATTTTTATCAGTAATGATAGAGCGGAGAAGAGATGTAAGCCCAAATGGCCATAACAAGCTATTGTGATTGGGCTGAATGTATGAGGATTTTACGGATAAGATATACTTGAAAGAAAAAAAAAAAGATCTCCTTTTCTGCTTTTTGATCTTTATTTTCTGCTTTATGCAAATCGGACTAAAAATGGACGGAGGTTTACATAGGATATTAGGATGAACTCATCAAAAAGGTGCCAAGTTTCTTCAACTTTTTGCATTGGTTCATAGCTACCTATTAAATCTTTGTGGTTGAATTCAGTCAATTATGAGTAATCTAAGTTGGTTTATTTTATTATAGTCATTTTGTCAGCTGTTTATTGACTTTTTCAGTTTGAATCGATCAGCTATTAATTTCAGCTAGAGTAGTGATTTTTGAGCAGCAATTGAGATTTTTTATTTTTTATTTTTGTAAATAAAGGTTATATCAATCAAGCAAAGCTAAATAGTGGAACCAAATTCAACACACATTCGGTGTAAACAAAACAAATAGTGCACATTAAGAGTGATATGATCGGTGGACTGATTACACAACTCGTGATTTACATCTATAGTAGCTCACTAGCTCTAGGGGCGGGATCATATGAATTTAAGATTAGTCCGACGAAATTGGGATCAAGTTTAAAAAATAAAAATAAAAAATAGCGCAAAATCACTAGATAATTTTTTGACAAAGAGCTATTCAAGAAATCATGATTTGAAATACTTATCCATGTAATAATATATTTTGGATGATACTATCTGATCTTTACAATAAGAAAGAATATTTTAAAAAGCTTTAAAAAAAAAAACCAAAACAAAAAACAAAAAGGATAAGAAAGCTTCGCTACTGAACAGTCAATAGATGCTACTTGCATTGTCTTTATAGGGACAAATTATTACGGAGTATTTAACTTTCTATCTTGATTTATGCATCTTTGCATCAGCACATACATTAGCCATTTTACCCAGAAACTATTTACATCTTAAATGAATTTAAAAGTTTTAAAAAATAGAAGTGTACATCGAGGTATATTAAGGCAAACATCTATAAAATTTATCAAATTGATAAATATCGGGAACGGAAGGGAGCAAAGAGACCTCTCTATCCCTAGCTATCTCCTTCAACACCGTTGAAAAATTCACTATTTTCAACCAATGTTTTCGTCCAACAGAAACATTGATAAGAGTTTTTTAAGAAAGAAAAAATTTCAAACAGTGGAGATAATTGAACGGTATGTTGGCATGAATTTTCGACCAACGCTATATCTTGGTCGAAAATTATTACCAACAAGCGCTATATGTTGATGGGAAATTTCAAGTTCCAACTAACGCTCAAATGTTGGACGGTAAAACTAAATTGACTAGTAGGTATGAAGTTAGAATGATAGGTTTGACCATTTACGGATCAATATTGTTAGACAGAAATACCAGTATTTAAAATACCCATATAAAAGGCCATACTTAAAAAATTTGAAAGCGGTGTTCAAAATTCTCTAACTACATCTCACTTTCCCGTGAAATCAACTTGGTACTCCAACCGCCCACTCTGAATCACCCCACCTTGCTACTCCAAGTTTGTCTATGAATCAGGTTTTACTTCTGTCCAAACTATTCCTCACCACAATTTGCTTTCATCCTTTACCTCATTTTGTTTCATCCCTAATCGAGGTTTGATTGAAATTGTTCTCTCTATATAAAATATACGCACTAACACGTATGTGAGTTACATGTGTCTATGTCACATTGGATCTCACTCCCTAAGTACAGCCCCAAGCATGCAGCATGCACCTCCATTGATACTAATCTGTCCAAGCATTAGGTGTTATGGCGACGGAGACGTTTTAACTGTAACACCTAACAACTCCATCACTCCATCACTCTACTCAAAAAGGCCAACCCAAAAATAAAAGTTCACCAAAAAAAAAAAAAAAAAAAAGAAAGCTAAATATGTAGTCATGTTGATTCCCTTGTGACATACCACTTCTCACATGCTTGTCACTTAGCTATATATCTACACAAAAAAAAGTAGATAAGATACTCTCAAATAAATAAATAAATATTCTAATCAAGTGAGAACCAATCTTAACTTGTGAATTGCACTATTATGAGCTTTAAGATGCCGAAGGACTTTGCAGTATCCAATGCGCTGCAATTCTTCACAAATTCACAGTTCGCAGATTAAGGTTGGTTCTCACCTGATTAACTCTGAGCTACCAAGAATCTTTCTCATTTTAATTACTCTGTTCGATATTGATCATCCATGCATTTTATTTGTTACGAGG